TAGAAGATCATGAAGAAATCAAGAAGAAGAACAAAAACGAACAGATCTAGGGTTACGGCTCACCTCTCTTGACGGAGCACCAGAGACAACGGCGACGACGACGTCGTGGAGACCCGACACCCTGGTACCTCAACGCATCAGAGCGGAGCCCCAATGATGCTAGACTCCGGCGAGGTCGATGAGAGCGACGAGACAGAGACGAAGACGAACGGTGGTGGATCTCGATGAGAAAGCTACATCGACGGTCAGGGAGAAGGAAGAGTGGTGTAGAACTGTCATGTGCCCGTGCCAGCAACCGCCGCCTTAACCAGCCACCGGACGGCGGGAAGAAGAGAGGAGAGCGGCTAGGGTTTCAGTCGATGGGACAGCTCGATGCGGCTGGAATGGGGATGGAAGAATGAGCTAGGGTTCGAAAACGCTCCGAGCCAGGAGCGGCGGCTGGCTTATAAAGCCGTCCCACCCGAGGCCGTGCCGCCCCCGTGTCGGCCGCTGAAGCGGGCCGTGCCCATGCCGTGCCATCGTGCTGGCATCGCGACCCAGGCACGGGCACGGGGCCGTGCCGTGCTTGGCATGGGCACGGTAGCTGCCGGGCCGGGCCATTTTCTTACCGGGCCAATTCGGACCGTGCTCGTGTCGGCCCAGCGGGCTTGGCCCATTTGGAAAACTTTATGCCATACCATACCTCTCACTGCTTAAAAAAGAGCAAATGGCAGGAACATGCAACAGGGAAGAAAGGTGTGGCGGTGGTATGGCCACATGCTGGTTCACATACGCATGTCGATGCATGTCAGAGAGAACATAGGCCCCGTTCGACTGGCAGAAACTTGGCTGAAACTGGCTGGTTGATGTGAGGAGAACAAGCCGGCTGATCTGGGAAACCAGACCAGCGAACGCGCGTATAGTTTTAATCGGCCTCAGAAAAGAGCGTTCGCCATACCATACCTCTCACTGCTTAAAAAGAAGCAAATGGCAGGAACATGCAACAGGGAAGAAAAGAATGTGATCACACCAAAACAAAAGTCTCAACCTAAATAAATAATTTGTTCAGTAAGAATTTAGGTTTTTTGCTAGGAGTAGTTCGATACCATATATCAAAAGGGTTGAAAATCGAGTTAAATTTATAAGAAAAAAAGATTCAGTGCTGGGGTTCGAATCCAGGCCCTTGGGCTAAGTCGCGCGCGTCCTAACCAGTTGAACCACAATGGCGTTATTGTATGTTTTTCAGAATAATTATACTTGTATCATTTCAAACGCCGAGATCTATAGGGTAATAGCTCGGCGCCGAGCTCGGCGGCGCCAAGATCTATGGCGCTGAGGCCTTGTCCACGTCGGCGCCAGGTCACCGCCACGTCTGACGCCTCGCCAAGACCTCGGCGCCATTGTCCATGGCGCCGAGATGTGTTTCCTCGGCGCCAAAAGCCATGACGTCGATGTCATGGTCCATAAACGAAAAGGAAACCACCCGGATCTATTTGTGAATATTTTCAAAAAAAGGCTGAAAATAATAAATTCGGGATAGCAGGCAGGCAGGAGACTCAGGCACGTGGCACGCGGGCTGCTCAAACGCTCTACAGCTGCCAGCATGGCACATGCCCATGCACAGCAGCGGCGCAGCGACACGGGCACCAAGCACGCGTGAACACAGGGGCAAGCGACATCATGGCGAGTGCGTCAGCCACAGCCACAAGGATGCTGCGGTGCTGCTTTCGAGCAGATGCGGCAGCAAGTCACAACATGACGGGGCAGCTAGGTGACCACATGGTCAAGGTAATATTTTTTCTATTACAGGAACCATGAACCAAAGGAACCACAATGATGCTGTGGTGCCCGTGCATCAAAACGCGCTGTCCAAGAGCTGCACAGGAATGGCATCAGCATGCACGTGGTCTTCAAGCAGTCATGCAGTGCACGCAGGCTGCAGAAGCAAGCGAGCCTACGACTACTTGGTCAAGGTAACAATTTTTCATTTGCAGGTACAGTGCTTGCAAGGGGTGCAAGTGTACTAGCTGAACACCGTCAGCTCTCAGCATTTGAGATTACCAGTCCCACCTGTTTTCACTGTGACACAGCTGGCGCTTTTTCCCGGCACAAGGTGCTACACGGATGCATCCACTACGCCTGACTCATCAATGCAGGTTCCAAGGCGAGCTGGTTTGGGAGTGCTCTTTCTATACACTGAATTAAACATGACATCAGCCATCTATATCAAGGCTATACTCAAAGACTCTACTTCGGTGTCAGTGGTCGAAGCTGCAGCCTTGGCGCTTGCAGCTCAGATTGCCTTGTCACTAGGCATCCATTGCCCGATATTTTTGTCTGACAATCAATAGCTTGTGACTTTCTTCGATGGGAATGACCACACAAATCTGCCGCATTGGGATATCAAGTGCTTCGCACAGAGGTACATAAATCATTCGTCAAGGAGTAATGCAACGATTTTTAAGATTCATCGAAAGCTCGATACCACGGCTCATGTCCTATCTACTCAGGCATTTAGCTCATCGAGCTCAACTAGTTCTCAAATACGGATCACCTATACCAATACTAGTCATGTAAACAGCTGTCCTACAAGGATAGCCTTGCAATATGTAATTGGTGACTCATTCACCATCATTGCAGCACACTGCTGCTAATAAAGTTTGTTTTTTATATAAAAAAAGCCACTTGCTCTTATCAACCATTCCATTTGCAATGTGTAAGTGGAGCTCACCGTCATCACAGGCCGGTCGGCAATATATTATATGCTACAACTATAAAACGGTTTACATCCTTCTCAATGACTTGGCTTCCACAGGAATGAGAATATAGCACGAAGCTTCGTCTTGCTTTCCATGAACGGAACAGGGCAGTGAATGGGACGACCAAGCTTTACAGTAATAATAAATAAAAGGGGAGGGAATATCTTTTGTCTATTACGGCTTGCTTGTTTCTCATGCTCTAAAATTTAATTAGTAAGCTAAAGTTAAGTACTAACTTTAGACTACTTTAGTTCACTTGTGTAGTCTAATGAACTAGTGACTTTTTTATGAGGTTGGTTAAATTTGACAATATTTTAGATTATATGTTTAAAAAATTCAAGAGCTAAAGTGGTTTAAAGTTTAGTGGCAAAACTTTAGACCGTGGCATCCAAACCGGACATTTTTGCTGCATCGCTCCCATATGTTCTTCCTACCGGTACCGAATGTACCAGAGTCTTTACTCCTTATTAATTATCTAGTCAGCCCGTGATGTCACCCATAACCAGTCCGTTTAAATGGAGCTCACTGTCGTCACCAATAACGGCCAATAATAGAACTATAAAATGGTTTACAGTAGTAAAGGAAAAGGGGAGGTAGTAATTTCCATATAGGAGAAATGCAGTGCAGAGGATGCGTCGGTTTCTAGGAGAATAGCACAGGGAGGAAGCTGCAGTGTAACTTCCGAGCAACATGACCTGCAAACCTTGTCTGTCGCTGTTGGCTTTCACTATCTGCGCCAGTTTTTACTTGCGAACTTGTCAAACCAGCGATCTGAGTTGCAGCTTTGCAAGTAGCAGTTGTTGCAGGCAGGTCTGACTGGCTTCTGGCGATGATTATTGGAGGCTGCAGACACCTCTACCTGCAATGGCGTGGAGACAAGGGGACAAACAGAGAACAACTGTTTAGTACAGTGCTAGCGATCCATTTCTCCTCTGTTGTGCAACGAATATGCAGGTCAATAATTGACCTGGATGCTATATATGTGGAGAAATTTTACAATGGTTGAAAAAATATGGGTTATTCATTGGGTGAGATCGAACGGTGAAGAAAATAAGATGTATTCTATTTAAAGTACCTGAAGCTACCAAATAGGTGGGGATAGTACCAAATTAGGTGGGACTAGTACCCATATTTATTTTTTCAGAAAAATTTAATTATGTAATTTGTGTATTTTCATTAAGGGCAAAACTAAGGTCTCGTATTTCATCTTTGTTTCAATCTATGCCCATTCTTGCTCTGTTTTCTTCTTCCCATCGTTAGGAACACCCGGACCGCCGCCCCCGCTACGCCGCCAGCGCCGAGCGTCGTCCGTCTCTGCTGAGATTTAAACGGCATGTGGTCCTCAGCAATAGCAAGGCATCCTTGATGTAGCTCGGGGGAAGAGAGAGCGGCACATAGGTGCAGGAAGGAGTGGAGTGGAGCTGGATGCTTTCCAGGCCGCCGACCTGCGGCCATCTGACCACACCAGCACATTCTGCTTCTTTCTCCACCAGATTGCCCAAGCATCCACCAGTTTGCGTACTAGCTCACTGGAGGCCGGAGCACGTGATCCAGCCGGCACAACGGTAGCCTCACCAGTGGCCACTTCGGAGACGCGCCGGCACAGTCTGTACCTCGACATCAACATCGCCGTGATTGCTCACTGATGACTTGAAAGGTGCAGAAGCTTGTCGAGCAGCACGGCGTCATCGGTGGGGGCAGCGGTGGCTAGGGGCTAGCCGAAGGCGGCGGCGCTGGATGCCCTGAGTGGAAGGCATCTGCGGACTGTGGCTAGCTAGTTTGAGACGCACGTGAGAGTGAGCCAGCGAGGCACCATGCTGCCTTGTCGAGAAAGGACAAAAAAAAACTCAATTACAAAATTACCCTCTACGATAAAAATTACATTTTATAAATACTCTTTGTAAGATAATTAGCTAGAAAATAATACAAATGAAAGTACTTGGAAGTACCAATGGTACTTTTCCAACCATGTCCAAATACATAGTGTTAGTTAAGACAACATGAGGACTAAAACTGAATTCACGCTAATTTCAATCATACATATAGAGATCAGTCGTGTACATAAATACAGCTTAGCAAACTACAAACCGAATATTCACAGCCAGGCATGAAAAAGTAGTTTTTATTTGTCTGACAACGTTTTTTGAAGCGCGGACCTTGACAAATTTTAAAACTATATATATAAGACGGCCCCCCGAAATTGAAGTAATGAGCTCGTACATAAATAAGTCTAAGCACAAATCAGTCGCCACCTTTGAACTTCTACCGCTTTCTCTTAGAAACCCTCCGGCTGGGTCTTGGCATGACCTCCAGAGTAACAAGTAAAGCACCATGTGGAGAAAACCAACACAGATCATAATCCGTGGGTTCTGGTTCATGGACCAAATAATCGAGCGCATCTGATCTTACTATCGCCTCCACTTGTTGCACGCTACCACCGCTTCTATTTTCCTTTTTGCCTCCATACTCAATATCAATCTCCGCGTCGGGGAACGAAGGAAAATGAGGCACAAAAATCCCGTACAGAAGCAGAGGTGCATTACGCAAGTTGTTTTTGGGCGCTGAAATGTAGCAGCTAAAATAGATCTCAATAACTGGCTCCGGAATTTCTATTGATGACTTGTTAGCTAGAGTTCCGCAGCTATTTCCATTGCAACATATTGGATCCGTGCGGAAGAATTTTGTATAAAAGGCATCTGTTTCTTTGATGGAACTGTTGGCCCCGGGATCACCGGCTGATGATAGTGAACTAGTCTCCAGACCACTAGTCTTAGACCATCAGTCTTCCAGACCATTAGTCTCCCAGACCAGACCATTAGTCTCTCAGACCACTAGTCTCCCAGACCAGACCACACTAGTCTCCCAAACCAGACCACTAGTCTCCAGACCACGAGTCTCCCAGATCACTATACCGGTTTGTGTCCGTACCCACACACTACGGATCGAGCTAGAAGAAGAAGGGAGAACAGAGCAAGCACGCACAATACAAGACAACAACGTTGGCCGATGCCCTGTCTGTGTGATGGCAAATTTGAGCTCTCTTTACTGAGTTGCCTTGGTGCCCTATTTATACAACTCTATCTATCTAACTAAAGTACAGCGCACATGCTGTAACAGTAACTAGATAAGCATACAGGGCTGACTCTGCGCCCGGCCCCGTGCATGTGCCTACAAAGGTTGCAGCAGTGAGCCATGCGGCGCTTTGCACCTACAGCTGCTCTCAGATTAAAGCGAGGGGCAAAGTCGGCGCCGCCTTCCTCTCATTGTGTTTCACACAAGGTGGCGATGAGATTAGCTAACAATCTTCCCTAATCCTCATCGCTAACCCTTGCACCCCTCCATGCCGATCATCTCCTTCACTCCGTGAGTCGAAGTCGTCCGAAGCGGCTTGGTGAGGACGTCCATGAAGTTGCCGACCAGTTTCGACAAACTCGATGACGATCGCCCTCCATCAACACAGTCCCTGAGGAAGTGGAACTTCACGTCAATGTGTTTACTCCGGTCGTGTAGAACCGGATTCTTCGCGAGGGCGATGGCGGGCTGGTTGTCCACCATCGGTCTTTGGTGGGTGAGCTTCCACGCCGGTTAGCTTCGCCCAGCGGCGGCGTAGCCACACAACAACGCACGCCACGTGGCGCCCGCTACATACTACGCCTCGCACGTAGATAGCGCCACCACTTCTGCTTCATTTTTTGACAACCATGAAATTGGGGCCGACCCGAGGAAGACAAGTACGCCAGAAGGTGCTCCGTCGTCCGTCGATGTCCCCCGCCATGTCTGCATCGCTGAATACCGTGAGCTGCAGCCTACTTCCCCTGGTCTTTGGGAAGATGATTCCATGATTCACCGTCCCCTTGACGTAGCGTAGTAGCCGCTTCACCGCAGCTCAGTGATCCTCTCTGGGATCCTCCATGAAGCGACTGACATAGCCCACGACGAACGCAATGTCCGGCCTTGTGTGGACTAGGTAGCGCAGACCACCAACGATGCTCCGGTAGAGTGTTGCATCTACTTTTGCCGCGGTGCTATCCTTCGTCAGTTTCAGCCGCTCCTCCATCGGAGTCACGCATGGCTTGCACTCCACCATGCCGCTCCTCTCCAACAGCTTGGAGGCATACGTGCTTTGTCCGAGAGTGAGTTCCTCCTTCCCCTGTCTCACCTCGATGCCGAGGTAGTAGGAGAGAGCGCCGAGATCGCTCATTCGGAAACGAGCTGCCATCTCTCGCTTGAAGCTGTTGATATCCTCCGTGCGCGCGCCGATGATGATTAAGTCATCCACATACACGCCGACCAAGAGTTCTTCCTTCCCCCATCGTCGCGTGTAGAGCGTGTGCTCGGTTGTGCACCTCTGAAACCCAAGCTCGCCCAGCGTGGTGTCAAGCTTGGCGTTCCATGCTCGAGGGGCTTGCCTTAGCCCGTAGAGCGCTTTGCGCAGTCGGAGCACCCTGTGCTCCTCTCCCTTGATAGCGAACCCTGGAGGTTGCCTGACGAAGACCGTTTCCGCCAGCTCGCCGTTGAGGAAGGCCGATTTAACGTCCAAGTGATGGGCGGCGCCGATCCTTTTGTCGCCGCCAAAGCAAGTAGCAAACGGACCGACTCCATCGCGCGCCTCTTGGTGCAAAGACGTCCTCGAAGTCGATGCCCTCGCTACCGACAAAAGCTCTCGGCGACGAGGCGCGCCTTATACTTGACAATGGCGCCGAGCTCGTCCTTTTTGACTTTGTACACCCACTTCAGTGATCGGACGGCATCCTCGGGGTGGATCGACGAGCCGCCAAGTCTCGTTTTCCTCGATCGCCTTCATCTCCTCCAAAGCATTGCCGTCGCCAGCTTTCCATCGCGCTTTCGGCTAAGCGCGAATGTGGGTGGTTCCTCCGCGCACCGACGAGTAGCAACTCTGCGTGTTGTTGAGGAGCCTACCCGCCCGGACCGAGGACTGTGTCACCAACGACGATGTCGTCCCACTGCGGAACCTCAACTCCTCACCTTCATGGTAGGCGTCCACGAACTCGGTGATGTCACTTGGAGGTGAGGCGAACTCGATCGGGGTGATGGAGTTCCTTCTTCCGCCGAGTGCCCTCGTGATAGCACCTAAAGTGCTCGGCATCGCTTACGGGCTGCTTTCGTCATAACTCCTGCAGTGTTCGGCCACACTGTAGGAGTGCCCAGCCTCAGTCTTGGAGTGGTCGGAACCACAGTAAGACGTCTTGGCTCCGCCACGGGAGTGCTCGGCACCTGTCCTGAAGTGGTCGCCACCACTGCAGAACCTCCTGGCTCCACTCCTGGCGTGCTCAACATTCCTCCAGAAGTGCTCGGCACTGCCCCAGAAGTGCTCGACTCTATCGCCGAAGTGCTCGACGCTCCTCCTGGAGTGCGTGGATTCCGCAACGTCTCCACCGCCATGGATGACCAAGTGCTCAATGACGAAGGTGTTGGTGAAGCCTCCCGATTCCCCCGTGCTCGGACTGTGCCAGTCCCAAGCTGCCTCCTCGTTGAACACAACGTCGCACGAGACAGTCACCTTGTCTCCGCATGGGTCATAGAGCCGGTATGCCTTGGTACCCTCCGCGTAGCCCAGGAACACCATGGGTGTGCTCCTGTCCTCCAGCTTGGTGAGGCTCGGCTTCGTCTTCCTGACGTGGCCGATGCAACCGAATGTCCGGAGGAATGACACGTTCGGCTTGCTCCCGTACCAAGCTTCGAACGGCGTCTTGCCCGTTAGGGCTTTGGTTGGAGCGCAGTTGAGGATGAACACCGCTGTGGTCACCGCCTCTCCCTAGAACTTTGCCGGCATCCCTTTGGCCTTCATCATGGATCGGGCCATGCCGACCACTGTCTGGTTCCGTCGCTCCACCACGCCATTCATTGTGGCGAAATACGACGCGGCGCGTGATGTTGCCCCACACCTTGATCCGCGCGATGCGTAGCAAACTCCACCAAGTGAATTCGCCACCCCAATCAGGTCCTCGATACGAAGCTTCTTGCCACTCTCGGCCTCCGCGCGCGTCTTAAACTTCTTGATCGCCACCGCCGCTTCGTCCTTGCTCGTCAGGAGTTGCAGCCACATGTAGTGACTGCAATCGTCCACGAGTAGGAGGAAGTACCGCCGACCACCGCATGTAGCAACGTGATCGGCCCGCAGAGGTCGCCGTGAACTAGCTCGAGAGCTTCGCTTCGCGCGATACTTGGCCGCCTTTGGGAAAAGGTAGCCTTCTGCTTCCGGCCAGCGGTATCACACATTCGCCTCCGTGTTTGATGTGGGGTAGCCCTCGACCATCTTCCCGGCCGACCACCAAGCGCGTCGAAGCCGAGATGTCCGAACCGGGCATGCCACATCCACGGTTCCTCGAGTGCCTTGCCGCCAGAACAAACGGCTGCTCTACCTTCAGTCGAAAGGTACAAACGGTTCAGGACCTCTTCACCTTGGCGAAAGTCGCCGCTCCGGTCTCGATCCTCATAATGCCGTCCTTGATCAGAACCTCGCTACCGCGCTCATCCAGCTGACCAATGCTGATGATGCTGGAACACAGCTGCGGGATGTAGTATACATCCATTAGCGCGTGGTGCTCCCCATTCTGGCATCTGAAGATGATGCTGCCGTGCCCTTGGATAGCCACCCTTGAGCCGTCACCAAACTTCACCGTACCGGTAACATCACCGTCGAGCTCGGAGAAGGAGTCCTTGGAGCCCGTCATGTGGTTACTGGCACCAGAGTCCAGATACCACCGCTGCTCCTGGTCGACGCCCACATGCCCAAGATGGACTTGGGCGCGTGGTTCGTCGAGGTTGACGGTCTTCAGGGCCTTGCTAGATCCTTCCACCGTCGTCGCATCTTCCCTCTCCATGGCCTCGACATCGTGCAGTGCACAGAACGTCGCCATAAGGATAGTGGCCTCATCCTCATCATCGGCTTTCGCCAGGTGAGCTTGAGCCTTCTTTTCCTTCTTGCGATTTGGGCACTCCCATGCCCAATGGCCCATCTTCCCGCAACATCGACAGGCGTTGGAGTCGATTTGCTTCTTCTCCGAAGAAGTCCTACCATGATGTTTACCGTTGCCACCGCTCGCAGACGACCTACCACATCCTCGATGGTGAGGGTGGACAAGTCCAGCATCGTCTCTATGGAGAGAGTGATCTGGATGTACTTTGCCGGCACGGAGTGGAGGAATTTGGAGACCGCCTCCTCATCGTCGATGGCGACGCCGTGGCTCTTCAGCTTGCTGATGAGCGTCTGCAGGCGGAGGAAAAAGTCCTCCACTGTTTCACCATCCTTGAACTTGAGGTTTGCATACTCCTGCTTCAGAAGCTGGGCCGTTGCCTTCTTTGCGCGGTCGGAACCGACGCGCATCGCCACAATGGCCTCCCACGCCTCCTTAGCTGAGCTCTTCGTCCCCAACGGTTCCCTCAGACTCCGTCGATGCGATGGCGAGGATAGCCTCCAACGCCGACATGTCGTCTTCTTCCACGTCGGTGCCCTTGTCAACAGAGATTCCGCAGCCGTTGGGCTCGAGCTTGACCTTCATGGTCACCGACCACTCTCCATAGTGAGTGCGAGTCGATTGTCGGCCAAGTGGTGCCACGACCTCCCGCATCATGCGGACAACTACCTCCGGTAGTGGTCAAGCAG